GTCGTACCCAATTCATCCCCTAGTGGACGTACTAAATATGGGTTTTTAATGGCTTAAACTTATACGGTAGGTGGAAAGGCGTATCTAATTCGGGGACATACTGGGTACGGTATTTCAATTGTTTAGCCCCTTAGAAAAGCGTACCTACCTCGTCTCTCTTTGGGGGACGTACTGTATACGGAAAGCCATATACGCGGCCGGGTCAATGTAAAAACTAAGTTTTCAGTGTTGTTTCGGGTCTAGGTGTTTGTGTTAGCGTCGTCGGTGTTTCCGATTACCATAACTCAAGTGCTTTAGGTACTTACTTTGGGATCAGAGCAATGCATATAATGTTGTCTAATAATTGTTTGAATGAGATGAAAGCTTTCTATAATAAACAAAATAACAATCGTATTATTCTTTTAATTCCAGATACCATTACAACAATTCCAACAAGATGGTGTATGTAAAGGTAAGTCATGAGTATTCGCTGTTTTTATGATGTCAAATAACGGGATGAATAAATCGTACGCCTGGTGGTAAGCGACACATACACCCATTACAGATAAATTGATTCACATTAAGATCGATTAAACTGTATACGATCTAGTGATTTTTTTATATTGATTCATTTCAATGCGATTTTTAAGTAAATCGATTCAACATTACGACGTTTTGATGTTATATTGACATTTCTATCAATGTGCTGCCATCTAGCGGTTTATTGCTGAACGGCGACGAATTAGAGTTATTAATTTAGTTCTCCAAACAAGAAGCGACCATATTGCAGGAGTATAAGCTTTACTTTCGTTTCTTGTAACAAAAAAAAATATTTCGATAAACAGAAAATTGAAAATTTATTAAAATAAAACTTTTCGATGACATGAAATACCACCACAGGTAATATTTTTGGTGCGGCCATTGACTTACAAATAAATGGACGACGGGTCTAATACAAAAACCACGAAAAAAATGTCCCAAGTCAACCTATTTAAACGTAGTGACATGTAAAGGAATATGAAAAAGCTAAAACGTTAGATTTAAATTGTAATGTCATCGCAGTACTGTCTGATTTTGCTTGCTTCGCTGTCAGTCGAACAAACGAAGACTAAAGCGTGAATGACGCTCTGTATACGATTTCAACGCCCTATAAGTTCGGACACTTTTTAGCGCGGACCCGACGTCCATATAATTGTAAGTCAATGGGTGCGGCTATCAGTTTTGTTCTCCAAAACAGCACAGTAAGACATTTTTCTGGGATTTTAGAGAATTGGCACAAAATAGTGACACAGCTCTACCATACAAAGCGAAAATGGCGGAGCTCAGCAGGCTGATTTTAATTCGCATTGGTATCGATCCGATCGGGTAGTCTCGAAATCAGATGGGTTTCTGAGCGAGAAGATGTACCTGGTTCCTACTATATCTTTCTAATTTGTGAGTTATATCAACTATTGTTCCGATTTGAAATGTCAAAAGTTTCACAATTATGCGCCTAGACTCGGAAAAGACGCAGTTTCCGATCGGGAGAAGCAATCAAAATCAAGCTGCAGATAGGCCTTTCGAGACCTATAGTTGGCACGCGTCGGATGCTAACCACTTCTACTGTATTTATTGTTATGTGGCCACGCCAAACTGACACTCACTATTTATATACAGTGATATTAACGAAAGCGCGGAATTGCACATGTAGTGGTATTTTTGTGTTTTCACAACAATTTGTGGTTGTATTTGTGATTTTGTATTTGTGGTTTTTCATGCAAACGGCACACTACACATGTACACTAATCGGCTACCACCAGCTAGTAAGAATCAACCATCCAAGTTTCATTTCTCGCTACCGAAAAAAACCCTGTATAAAATATGTCAATAACTCATTTTCCAAATTCGCATTACAGTCAAGTAATACGGAATGATTATCCAGTCATTACTGTCATTGCCGGTAGGCCAATATTGGAACGGTAATGATGCATTTGCTCCGGGTAATGACATCCCATCAGACATTACATCTTGAGAAATATTCGTTGACATGTTCACGATCTTTTGTAATTTAAAATAAATATATAGGAGGCAATAATAACCACGACTGAAACGCTCAAACCAATCTTCAAAACTAAACCGAGAATTACAAAACTAACTTTGATTAGAGGAAATATGGCGAATAGTTTTTTTTGTTATCAAAAAATAAGTGCGGATTTTTAGTTTACCTGATGTTAAGCGGCGATGAGGTCAACGATGAAACATGTACACCTATACTTTCGTATTTTTAATCGATGTCAAAAATAGGAAGAGGTTTGCAATTTCACATATGTTTTTTTATGTATGTTACACGATAACTCCGGTATTTGTGAACCAATTTTGATAATTCTTGTTTTGTCAGAAAGAAGTGGTCGCATTTAATTTTGAAGAAAATATTCCTCCTCTCAATTACTTTTAAGATCAGTTTTTTGGCACTCTGTACTGAGATTATTATATCGATATATGTATATATACAATAAAGAAAAGAGAATGTAAACGACCAGCAGAGTATATCCATAAACTGACTTATCATGAAACCAAGAAGTTATTAAGTTTTATACAGTAGTATTTTTCTCTTGTAACTAACACTCTCCCACACACATTCAATCATTTCCATTCTACTCACAGGGAAGTCACCATTCACATCTTAAATTTTAAGTAAATTAATAAGTGACTAATTGAATATCATAATGGTGAATGATATTCATTAAAACGCTTAATTACAGTGAATAGCGACACCCCTAGCCAGGGCTGGCAGCTGTAAAGGTGACTAACTTGGTGACGAGATATTTTCATGGATTTCTCATAGATGGCGCTACATTCACAAACAAGCACATTGAGAAATTCGTGAGGTCTGCTGGTTCGCTCTTTGGCTTAGTTGGCATAGCGTCCGACATGAATGGTCTGGTTCGAATCCGGCCGAATCGAGGGATTTTTTTCACTTCTTTGTAATAATAACGCAGTAGTTAAAGTAGTGGAGTCATTTCACAAAAACAACAAAAAAAGTCAACCGTGACCATGGGACCTGAAAAGGGCCCGAACCGTTGGTTTGTTTGGAAAAACAAATATACGCGATTTAAATCCGGAAAAATAGTTTCATTTCCTATAATTACGTAATTTATCGTGTAATTTGTAAATGTTATTTCCATTGACTTACAATTATATGGACGTCGGGTCCGCGCTAAAAAGTGTCCGAACTTATAGGGCGTTAAAATCGTATACAGAGCGTCATTCACGCTTTAGTCTTCGTTTGTTCGACTGACAGCGAAACAAGCAAAATTAGACAGTACTGCGATGACATTACAATTTAAATTCAACGTTTTAGCCTTTTCATATTCCTTTACATGTCACTACGTTTAAATAGGTTGACTTGGGATATTTTTTCGTGGTTTTTGTATTAGGCCCGTCGTCCATTTATTTTTAAGTCAATGGTTATTTCTTATAAATTCTCACGATGTTCTTTTTTCCTTCGCTTTAATTTGGTGTCAGCAGAAAAAGGTACACGATCGCTGCTTCTCTATCTACAGTGTTTCACTTTCACCTTGAAAAGGCCTAGTAGCAGTAGAGTACCTTGTAAAAGAGTTCGTCCTTTTTCCTTTCCTAATTTATTTTTTCTCACAAATTAAAATTTAAAAAATAAATGTGGCTCGAGGACGCTACAGTACCAAAGTCGTTATGAATATCATGCCTTTAGAACGCGTGACGGGTTAAGCAAGACATTAAGCTTTAAATTTCCTTCGTAATATCTTCTTTTTTATAAAGTCATGTTCTTTTGTTTTGAGATCCGCCCTTCTCTAGTAGTAATTTACAAAACATTATTAACATATTAAATAAAACCACAAAAACCAACTTTATCTCTTTACGGACAAAGCCTTTTACAAAATGTAGTTTCAACCATATCATGTGATCGTAATAAGTGTGTAGGTAGTGCACAGAGACGATGCAACCGCTCACGTATTATGGTGGTCAACGTTCTTTGTTCTCTTTAATGGTTGGTTTACATGGAAAAGTGGAGCAACCCATATAGGCAGACTTATCTACATACAGTACTATTAGGCAAAAATTTAACCTTCGGAGCCATTCTGGTTTTACGGAAATTGACAATTGTATTATTAACCTATTTCATTTTTGTTTCTCTTTATGGCAACGTTATCTGCAACATGACAACTTTACAGAACAAAGAGAGAACTTTTTTAGGGGCAGTTGACCTTCTTGTGAAAGTGTTCGTCCAGGGAAGTGCTGCCATCTTACCTATTTCTGCCGCCAAGCTGTAATGTGATCATTACAGCGTTCCGGTTTTGAAAGGTGCTGGTGAAATTACAGGCACATGGGACTTGTCAACTTATGTCTCAGGGTGACAAGCACAGTGGCAGTGGCTAAGATCTTTGCAATTTAAAGCTCTGTGTTGCCGTCAGGCGCACGACTTGTTCGTCCCGCCTCTTGGTATTGGAAAAAAAAAAACAAAGATTTAACTTAAAAATTTCACATATTGGTCCCAATTAAATTTCAAAAAATATTCCACCTGTAAGGGTGTCAAACTAAGGGATGAATCCGGTTCGCGCATTTACCTGTAACCGATTTCAAGAAAACTTGGCAAATAGATTTTATTCCACGAGCTTTTGAGGTCGATTTGTCTTAAATAAAAAATTTGTAGTTATGTACCAAGTGATGGGACGAACAAGTCGTAGGTCTGGTGGAAAGCGACACGCCTATCTACAACAGTTGCAGTGCAACTCAGAGCCTTAAAGTGCAAAGATCTTAGGGACACTACCACTGACTTGACAAATCCCATATGCCTGTAATTTCGCATCTTTACCCTTGGAAACGCAGTAATGCTCACATTACAGCTTGGCGGCAGAACTAGGTAAGGTAGCAGTACTTCCTTGAACGAACTCCTTCATAAAGAACTCTACTGCTAGTAAATTAGAATTAGAGATATCATTAATAACATATAATAGGGGTAGCATTCTATTCTATCATCTACTCTCACTTCAAAAATCTGTGTAGTGTGTTTTTATTCTTTAACTTAGTCTGTCTAGAATCGAATTTTGTTGTTGCTTTGATCTATTCTTATTATGTGTATAATTATATTATAATACTAATTATGTTACACAACATTAAATCCTCTTTACAGTCATAACTTACACCTACAGCTGTAATTATATTCACATGCACTTACATGTCAAACAGGTTATTTTAGATGCACTATTTACACTTTACTATGTATATTATTGTTGTCAATGTATAACTTTACTCGTAGTCGTTATATTTTTGCTTTCAAATAATTTAATCCCTCTCGTTGGTTCTGACGGAAAACCAGCGCCTTAGGAAACTTTGGCATATGCTGAGTCAGCGCCGTTTCACTGCTATGACAATCATGTTTTGTTTTTTCTTTTATGCTTAATCCGATGATTTGTGTTATATCAGTGAATAAAGTCTTTATCTACATATCTACCT